GGTTCTGAATTCTCCAAACTATCTGATGTTCTCAAATTATTTCACTTGAAAGCTAAACATGGGTGGAGTAATGTTAGTTTCACTGAGTTGCTGATATTGCTTCAAGAAATGCTTCCAGAAGGAAATACACTTCCCGATACGAGCTATAAGGCTAGAAAGTTGTTGTGTCCAATGGGAACAGAATGGGAGAAGATTCATGCATGCCCAGCCGATTGCATACTGTACCGCAATGAATATGAAAACCTAAATGAATGTCCAAAGTGTCACGCTTCACGTTATAAGAAGAAGAAGGGTATTAATGTTGGGTTTGATGCTGAATACACCAAAACACCTGCCAAAGTGTTGTGGTATCTTCCTATCATTCCTAGATTTAAAAGATTATTCATGAATGAGAAAGATGCAAAAAACTTAGTGTGGCATGCTCAAGGCAGGAAAAAAGATGAGTACTTGCGACATGTATCTGATGCACCACAGTGGAGGCAAATTGATTTGAAATATCCTGATTTTGGCAAAGAAGACAGGAATTTGAGACTTGGATTATGCACTGATGGTATGAATCCATATGGCACATTGAGTAGTCAACATAGTACTTGGCCAGTTTTATTGGTTATTTATAATTTGCCTTCATGGTTGTGCATGAAGAGGAAGTACATAATGTTGTCTCTGCTTATCTCGGGACCACAACAACCCGGTAATGATATTGATGTGTACCTCGCACCATTAGTTGATGATCTTAAACTTATGTGGAATGAGGGTGTTACAACATATGACATGCACACAAAAACAAATTTTAATTTGCGTGCTTTGTTGTATTGCACTATTAATGACTTTCCAGCTTATGGAAATCTTTCTGGATATACAGTTAAAGGTGGAAAGGCATGTCCCATTTGTGAAGATGACACTCTTGATTTGCGATTACCCAATTGCAAAAAGAATGTATACATGAGTCATCGAAGATTTCTTCCACGAAACCATCGTTATCGTGCACTCAAAAAGGCATTTAATGGAAAAGCTGAACACGGTGTTCCTCGACGTGTATTAAGTGGATCAGAAATATATGATAAGGTCAAAGATTTGAACACGGTTTTTGGTAAGCCATATAAGCGGAACAAACAGAGTTTGTGGAAGAAGAAGTCTATTTTTTGGGAACTTCCGTATTGGAAGGACTTATCTGTGAGGCATTGTCTTGATCTTATGCACATTGAAAAAAATGTGTGTGACAGCATCATTTCGACCATTATGAATGTTCCCGGAAAGACAAAGGATGGAATTAATATCCGAAAAGACATGATTGAACATTTAAATATTCGAAAAGAATTGGCACCACAACCGCGGGAAAATGGTTTTTATCTTCCACCAGGTTGCTACACACTCTCAAAGGTTGAGAAACGAATTTTTTGTGAAAGCTTATATGGCATCAAAGTGCCTTCTAGGTATTCTTCAAATTTTAAGAATCTCGTATCATTGAAGGATATGAAATTGGTTGGTTTGAAGTCTCATGATTATCATGTTCTGATGCAACATTTGTTGCATGTTGTTCTACGAGGGCTTTTACCTGATCATGTTAGATGTGCGATCATGAGATTGTGTTTCTTCTTCAATTCCATATGTCAGAAAGTAATTCACCCTGAGAAACTTGATGCGTTGCAAGCTGAAGTGGTTACATTGTGTCAGCTTGAAATGTATTTTCCACCTTCACTATTTGACATTATGGTGCATCTTGTGGTACATCTGGTTAGAGAAGTCAAGATGTGTGGTCCTGTGTTTTTACGATACATGTACGGAATGGAAAGACATATGGGATATTTGAAATCAAAGGTGAAAAATCGATGTCGACCTGAAGGAAGTATAATCAGGGGTGTAATTGATGAAGAAGTCATTGGATTTTGCACACCTTATTTGATGAATGTTGAATCATTAGGTGTTCCAAAGTCTAGACATGATGATAGGAATGAAGGAAAAGGCATACTTGGAAAGAAACTACTAAAGAATGTGGACAATGAGTTAGTGGAAAAGGCCCATCTTCTCGTGTTGCATCATTTAGAAATTATTTCTCCATATGTGCAACAACATATGAATGCTTTGAAGACTCAATTTCCGTTGAAAAGTGAAGTATGGTTGACTAAAGAACACAATCGTACGTTTTCATCTTGGTTTAAAGACTTCATCTTCAATGACAGGAATGATGTTTATAATGAGGTTGATGGAGATGTTAAGTGGTTGTCTTATGGTCCTAAATGCACAATTGATTCATATGAAGCATACGATATCAATGGCTACACCTTTTATACTACCCGACAGGATGCCAAATCTGTATTACAGAATAGTGGGGTATCAGTGGTAGCATCTTCAACAGAATATGCAAGTTCAAATGATCAGAATCCTCTTTATGCAACAATGTCTTACTATGGAAAAATTGAGGATATATGGAAGTTGAATTACATGAACAGGAGTTTTTCACTTTTCAAGTGTCAGTGGGCCGATATTCGAAGAGGTGTTCAGCGTGATCAAACAGGAGTGACATTAGTGGATTTTACTCGACCCGGATATCGTGATGATCCGTTTATACTTGCATCCCAAGCTGAACAAGTTTTTTATGTAGAGGATCCCTCAAACAAACGATGGTCAGTTGTTTTACCAGGTAAGAAAAAATTAAATGTGGATGATTGTGACGTTGGAGAAGATGATTATATTGAAGATATGCCGTCATTGTCCACTGGCATGCATGATAGAAATGCAACAATCGATTACAATGAAGATGATCTTTCATTTGTTGGAAATCATAACGATGGCATAGAAATTTTCTTCAAAAAGTCAAAGTGATATCATGAGTGAATTGTAAGTAATCTTAACGTTATTATGTTTTTTTCTTGAATTAAAATTCATTTTTCTTTCATATATTATTTGTGCTTCTAATAATAACACTGTTGCAGGAGCTACACACTATGAGTGATAGTGATGGAGATGACTTTATTCTCAATGAGGAACCTCATGTTACGGCGGAGGAACATAGTAGCAGTGGGCGCAGAACTAGCGACGGGAAAAAAATAGTTGATTTTGATAAAAATGGTCAGCCAGTTGGTGCGTGGGCGGAGAAGTTCAAATCTTTTGTGGGCAAGATAGTACGTGCTCGGGTAAACATCAACATTGAAAGTTGGAAACATGTCCCCGAATCCCTAAAATTGCAGATGTGGAAAGAGATCCAGGTATGTACACTTAATTATATATTTTAACTTTATTAATAATAAGAAAAGATTACAAGTCCTAATGCATATATTAAATCACCACTATGTAGGATGAGTATTTTGTTGATGACACCATGTACAAGTTGACCATAAAAAAGATGGGAAAGTTACATCGGGACTTTAGAAACCGATTGAGGACTGGCTTTTTTTATAAGACACGACCAGTTGGACAGGATAGTGGTGAAGCTTATGTGAAGTATAAAGGCATTTTGACACAAGATGTGTGGGAGGATTTTATCACTAGGAGCATGACTCCGGAGTTTCAGGTATAATCCAAAGGTAATTTTATTGAATTCAATTTTGTTTTATAATATGAAATCCATACTTTTTAAATTTTATGCAGGAATTAAGTGATAAAAACAAACAAGCTGCGTTACTGAATATTTACCCTCACCATATGGGTCGCTCCGGATATGCACTTTCCATACCGAAATGGAAAGATCAAGGATTACTAGATCAGTTTTTGACTAAGTCTGAAGTGGATTTCACAAAATCTAGCGTATCTTCTGATGACATTCCGAGACATGTGAGTTGGTTTTGTGCTAGATCTGGATTGACAGCAGATGGACAACTAGCTTTCCCGAGTAACACCGAAGCCATGAAAAAGAAGAAAGAAAAACTTGTAAGTATGTTTCACATAAGTATATTTTACGTATAAACTTTTCACATAAGAATGTTTTACGTATAAATTTTGTAACTCTTTTTTTATATGTAATAGGATAAAATTCAAGATGATGTTGCTACAGGGACGTGGAAGCCACACGGACGACATGATATTCTTACCGAGATATTTGAGAAACCTGATTATCCTGGACGTGTACGCGGTGTTGGAGGAGGTGTGGGGCATAAAAGAGTGTTTGAGCGAGAGCCGAGGAGTTCACGTAAGATTGGTAATTTGAGCGATGCTGATTTGAAGAAGTTACAGGATCAGTGGATGAAAGATATGGAAAAAGCTTTTGCTCAAAGAGGATTCCAATCTACCACATTTCCATCTACGCATTCTCAAACAGTAGATGCAGACACTATGAACTCCACCGCACCTATTCCACGAAATTTTTTTGTTGTAAGTAATTATTAAAATCATATATATTTATTAATGTCTACAATATTTATTAACTTTTTTTTGAAAATAATTATAGGACGGTTCATCCTGTAAGCTAGCTGTTGAGTCACAAACAGAAGATGGACACAAAGATTTGAAATATGTAGCAATGGCTTTGGCTTATAATACAGCCCCGGGGGCCATGATACATAATATTCCGATGTCTGCTAATACCATTAAAGTTAACATATCTATGATTTATACAGGTTTTGTGAAATGTCATCCTTTGTTTCCATATATAGTGTTCACAGATTTTGTGAGATGCAAATCTTTAAATGTTATTATTATTTAAGTTTGTTTTTTGTTTCAATGGTTTTTACAGGTTTTGAGCAATGTCCTCTTTTAGTTCCAAATGAAAATGCTGATATATATGTGTTGACAGACGCTATAGGATCATTTGTTGAGTGGCCTAGTCATTTGGTTTTTTTTGAAGGAGAGGTGAATAAATTACTCTTTGCAATTATCAAACAATACAAAATTACTCTATGTTACTGTCATTCTGACCATTTTTTTAGGATCAGGTAAAGTCAAAGCGGAAAGATGTGATTCAAAAGAATAAAGCTTTTATTCCGAGAGAGTCTCCTCGGGTTGTGATTCCTCCTAGCACATACCCAATGGTTAGTGATACTATTTTGCAGTCACTAACTGAAGATTTATTGGAGCTACATGAGATGCTAGAGTGGTATGAACCAGAGGTGTGTAAATTCTCTATTGCTTTACCTGTTGATGCTTTTCACTATCCGCAAAACAGTGAATTTGGGACTATCATCGATCGTAAAGACTTGGCTGAACTACTCGAGGGTGATTCTGTGGATATGTGCATCATTCAATCCTTTGCATTGTAAGTATTTTAAATAAATATAACAATATCTAAATTAAAGTTAATGAAATGATTTGAACTTCAAAATTGTATAATGATACTATATTATGTTTATTATAGGTGTGCCTTAGCTAAATTGAATGATTTGCAACGTGATGATGTTGTGTTTTTGTGCCCCTTATTGTGCTCTTATGGTTCTTATCAACTTGACAAGAAGGGCACAATAACATATATGAAACAATCTTTGTGTGCGACATTTGGAAAAAGAATGATCTTACTTCCATATAATGAAGGGTAAATAGTTTTATTTTATATAATGTATCTGTTTATGTAAATTTAATTTTTTAATTAATTGTAATTTTTTTGATATTTAGATTTCATTGGATTTTGATAGTCATTTGCCCCCCGGTTAATAAAGGCTATATCTTCAATTCAATCCCAAGCTTTTCTAATATCATCATTCAGAAAGATCTAGCATTGTAAGTATTCTTTTAATATTTTTTATTTATAATAATTGCTATAGATTATTATTATTATTATTATTATTTATATCATTTAACATAAATTTTTTAATGTAGAGCATACAGAGTTGCTTCCGCAAGAAATGGTGATGGAAAGCCAATCACATGGCATAATGTTAAGGTAAATTCATCAATAACTTATTTCAATCACCATTAACTTTGATACATATATTTTGTAAATTTGTATTTCAAAAAAGTGTGCCAGACAAAACGGAAACACAGAATGCGGATATTATACCATGCGATACATATGGGAAGTGATTTCGTATGTTGATAGCTTTGATATTGGAAAGGTATATCATTATTTATTCTTATTTTTTAACTTCGTTTAATTTTTTCTAATTTAAAAGTTGTAATATTTTTTATTTATGTTTTATTTTATCTAAATATTTGTAGGATTGGTATTCAAGAACTGAGGCATATTCTGAAGATGAGTTTAATAACATTCGCAATATATGGGCACGATTTTTCTTGGATGTACTCTTAAATATGTAAAAGTTGATTACATTGGTTATGTATTGTGTTAAGTGTTTTTTGAAATCATTTTTATGAAGATTTTTGTAATCTGTTGGTTACTTGAATTGCTTACACTTTGCTGATTTTGTAATTTGTGAAGTTCATGTTGTTGATATTGTGATGACTTTAAACAGTTTACACTTTTGGTATTTTGTTAATTCTGTTACAGGACGTTTTTGAAAGATCCTAAATATGATTGAATATTTTAAAAAAATGTTGGAAACTTGCGGCGCTTATTTGTGTAAGGCGCCGCGAAAGTTAAAAAAAATAAATAATTTAATTTATTTAAAAATATTTGCGGCGCTTATTTACAGAAAAGCGCCGCACGGTTACGTATTAAATTATTAATTTAAAAAAATATTTTGCGGCGCCTATACGCAAAAAAGCGCCGCACACATATTAAATATAATTTTTTTCAAAATAAAATATTTGCGGCGCTTTTTTAAATTAAGCGCCGCACGCATTAAATTGCGGCACCGAGATGTGCGGCGCCTGAAAGCGCCGCACGTTGGTTGATTTAAGCGCCGCAAAAAGGTAATTTTGCACCGGTGATATTTCAATCAGCCATCATCGTGACGTATGATAAATTAAACTTCAATCAAGATATACTTTTTACTCTGGATATTACAATATATACAATTTTACATGAGTACATTCTGGATGAATTAAAAGCATCACTCTTTTTAACCATTGTGCTGGACTCTTATTATTGATAGTTATCCCAACTCACCCTTAATACATTCATTCAAACTCATTATTGTCTCTGATGACTTCTAAAATGTGATGACACTTTAGATCATGAGGCAGCCCAACACATATAAGTGCAAGGTCTAACATTCATAATGCCGTTATCTTTGATGAAATTTTAGGTCATGAGGCAGCCTATTCATATATAACCAACATCCAACGACCTGGTACGTAAAGTTTTGATATTTTATAAATCAAATATCTTGAGCAAAAACTTATGTCAATATGAATAATGAATAAGCAATTGAAATGACTAATACTTTACCTACTTAATTGTATGTAATTGCTGAAGCAGCGCACATGATTCGAAATCAACATATCAAAACAATATGATAATAGTAAAAACGTATGAATATCATTTTTATTGATCTATGATATTTGAATTCTAAATCAAAAATAAGAAACGTATGAAAATATACGGAGTATGTTACAAACAATTTGAACTCTAACCTTAGTTGTATTTACAATATTTGAAAATAATCCATCACACTTTGATTTCTAACAATAACCTCTACTGATCTACACTTCTAAACTGTCCGATATAAACCACAAAGTTTATAAACCAAAAACCATCCAATTAAGTAAATCCCTCCAAAAAGTTTGTTATAAACTTATAATATATGAGCCTAACATTAAATAAGTTTATTTATGGGATACTCATATATAAAAAAACAAAGTAAATATTACTCCGTAGTAATTTAAAAAATTATAAATATTTAAAGATTTAATAACAACTATGTATATGAGCATTCAGCCGCTAAGATTATCTACTCTTTAAACCTATCAAAATTAGCATAACTCATTATCAAGCCCTTCAAAAGATAATATACTCAAAGTACATATATAATTTATAAACATATTTGAGCTAGAGAGAGAAGAAACATGTCAATGTTCATTAAGAAAAGTGTATGAGATACTGTTATCAGGATTTATAGCATTCATCGTATGGCAAATTTCAAATTTTAGAAGTGAACATAAGTCATTTGATATATAATTCATCATAAATACCCTTTTAAAAAAATCATCAGAAGTTCCTCATTGAAATCAATTTCATACTATTATGATTAGTTAAAGCATACTACTCCCTCCGTCCCTTAAAACTTTGACATCTTTGTTTTTTGGGACGCCCCAAAAAACTTTAACACTTTCCCTTTTAATCAATTATTTTGTGGTTTCTGTTATTTCTTTCTCCTCTGCACAAACCTCAACCACACAGTTTTTACTTTATTATTCTCCGTGCCGGTCAACTTTGGCAAAGTTTTACGGGACGGAGGTAGTATAAACCATAAACAGATCCCATTAAATTGTAGGCATTGATCCTTTGAAGTTGTGCAAGAATATATAATCCTTCATCTTCTTTTTTTTGTTTAATGTCAAAGAAAACTGAGCACAATCATATGATGAAACCAAACCTCTGATGAAACCCTTTGGCTACCAACCTTGCTTTGAATTTATTACTAGATCCATCTGAATTTTCCTTGATTCTAAATACCCACTTACAACCAGTTGCTTGCTTTCCTCGAGGAAGAGGCATCAAGATCGAAGTCTTGTTTGCTAGTAATGCATATACTGAGATTGCATTGCTGCAAACTAGGGTGGAGAGGAGAGAGTCTACTTTACTAATTTGGGCTGAACATGAGTCAACAGTAAGGTGGGATTAAGTCTAGGTTTAACAATCCCAGGTTTGGATCTGGTTTGCATAGGATGAGCATTGTGTAATGGAATGGAAGGTGTAGAAGAAGAGGAAGAAACAATTGGTGTGGTGGAGGAAGAGTTGTGAGTGTGACTTTGAGAGTTGGTAGGAGGTGAGTGATTCTGGGAAGAACTTAAGTTGACAGAAGATGAATTATGCCGAGAAGAAGTTGAAGGATCAGTGTTGTTTTCAAAGGGAAACTGAGGTGATAGATGAAGGAACAGGATCAGAAGTTGGTAAAATTGGAGTGGCACCATTGTTGGGTTGTGTAGAAGAGGAAAATGAGGGATTAGAAAATTTTATGGGAGGAGAGGATGAAACTGGGACAATATGATGGTAGTTTATTTGGTAGAAAAAAGGGTTGTATAAGGGAATGTTGTTTCATTGAAAACAACATCCCTGGATATATAGATTTTATCACAGGGAATAAGACATTTGTAGAATTGTTGCCCTTATGATGAGAAGAGTATCCGAAAAACACACACTCCTTGGAGTGGTAGTCAAGTTTGTCTTTATTGTAGGGCCTTATGAAGGGATAACATGAACGGCCGAAGACCTTAAGGAAGTAGTAATCAGGAAGGATTCCATACAGTTTGAAATACGGACTAAGATTTTCAATAGATTTAGATGGAAGTCTATTTATAAGATGTACAACTGTAGATGAGTGAGGAATTGTGTATGTGAACTAACAGACATAGGTCTTTTTCAACAATGGTGCGCTGTTTCCTTTCAACCACACCATTTTGATGGTGTGTGTGAGGATAAATTACCCTATGATTGATGCCTTTTTTAGTGAGGAATTGTGTAAATGACTTAAACTCACCTCCTCGTTCAGACTTGATGGACTTAATGGAGACATTGAACCGATTTAACACATATTGGTAAAAGTTCTGAAAGGCTAAGAAGGCATCAGATTTCTTTTTGAGAAAATTAACCCATGTATACCTAGTAAATACATCAATAAATGACACATGGTAAGAATAGCCATCAAATGACTCGAATGGAGTTGGGCCCCCGATAACCGTTTACGTGGCGTTGTAGTAAAACGGAGTCTAACCTTTCGGTTTTCCCCCGAGTATTGTGTCTCTGAGGAATGGCGCAGGAGTTTCTTAATTTAATTTTAGTCATGGGCTATCGCTAATTGTTGGAAGCTTTTTCAGTACAGAAGTTGATTGTGTTCTAAATAAAGCCAATTTGCAAAACTATGACTAGGAGCAAGGTTCAATTTAAAGATCAAGTGTTCTAAAGATTGATGCAAATAAAGGAAATTAATTGAGTAATTAGAAATGGATATATTCTTGGACCTAGTAATTGGGGAAATTAAAACTAAAATTGAACTAATAATTTCTTTCCTCATAGACAAGAATAAAAACTATTTTCATTAATTTATCCTATTTTTAGGTGACATTAATGTGTTTAAAATGGTTAGCTTAAATTATTTTCTAATCCCATAGACAAGGTAGAAATAATTCTCCAATATTTTAATTAATAAAAATAGCAAATTCATTAACTAGTACGTTAACCTCATTATTTAAGAAATTGAATTTAATTATTTCTCATAGACAAGATGTAAATCCCTTTCATTAATATATCCTATTTATAGGCCTCATTAATTTAATTGAATATGGTTGTATTAAATTATTTTCAAATCTCATAGACAAGTTAGAAATAATTTTCCAAAAATTTAATTAATGAAAATGGCTAGCAATTATTAATTACTATTTCATCATTTTAAACAACTAGTCCAAATTATTAATTTTAATCTCTAATTTTAGGTCAACAAGTCAATCCATATTCCTTTAGTCAATTCATGCCCAAAACAAATTTAGCTACTAAATATCATATTTGCATTTAACAATATACTGAATAAATTCAACATTAGTAAGGAATTAAACATGTATGATAGCAAAAATTAAACAAAAATAATATAATGTCAAAATAAATTTTTAGGAACTAAAATATAACTTTTTGGAGTTTTTTTCCGAATTTACTAACCTAAAATCCAATTTTAACAACTAATTGATTATTTTCCCGATATTAACTAGAAAATGTAAAAAGCAACTAAAAATAGTCTAAATTCGTTCTAAATTTTCTATTGACTACTGGGTTTGATATTAAATTGAATTAAACTAATATTATGACCTTAACTATTTTTTTGCTATTTTTGAGTATTTAGTTTTAGTTTATGCAATAATAACAACTAATTACCAAAATTAATAAAAAATTACTTCTGCTTCGTGAAAATTAACTTTCTTCATATAAATAGCTACCTTGAGGCTACTAAACAACTGTATAATTAATTGGAATGGATTCAATATCAACTCCGCCATGATATCATTTTTTTGGTATCATGCCTGTCCCAAGCCAGGATAAAGGAGGAGGGTGTTGTGGTAGGCGTGTGACGGCCAACAGTATCACCTAGTCACATCACATGACATGAATCGAAATATGAAAATCGCTAATGCTAGGTCGTCACCCGTAAGTGACGCGTCATCCCTCCGCCT